GTATAATATAAACAGTAATTGGTGGCAGTGAGTAAACAGACTGGTAATGTGTAAGGTTTATCTTCAGTGAACGGTACGGTATTACTGATGTTAGCACTATCATATATTACCGATTCTGGGAACTGCAAAAACATCCAGTAATACATTTCCATAAACGGGAATAAAATGTTATAAGGAGTACGATTTTTATCGCAGTTCCGTTCTAATCTGAGGTTATCCAATAAAGGCTTATAGAAGGGCTTCTATGGGTTTTGCTATCCCACAATTCGTCATGTTATCAAGAAATAGGTCCTACATGCTACGCTTTAATTGGTTTATTTTTTACAAGGATAACGACTTAGGATCACAAGGATCATTTCTGGTTATTGACCAAAGCTCTTGGCATTGATCCTTTCCAGATGAAAGAGATGAACTTACATTATTGATGTTGACTGTGAAACTGGCTTTAGACGGTGTAATATTGTAGGCCTGAGATAAATTAGCTACAACTATTATACCATAGCGTTGTTTGATATATTCACCAAAATCACTGTAGGTAGAGTAGACTTCACCTTTTGCACCGCTACCATCTCTTATTGCTTTCTGAAAGTATTCATGTAGATGGTTTATCGAAAATCCTATATTCCATCCCAATACTTTAGACCGGGGGTTTTCAACCCAAAAGGATAATTTTGACATTTTGGGGGGTAACCAGGCACTTTGCAGACATGCGTAAAAATTCGGACGACAATGATAAAGGAGTCCTAATCAGCCAGGCTTTATTCTCCCACATGGAAAACATTGCAGGGGAAACCTAAGAATTTATAGGGGGGTTGGGGGGGGGGGGGGGCTATAAGGATCAAGGACCCTAAAAAGGATAATAGAAAGAAAAGCTAATCGTTGATATTGACATAATAACGAAACGAAAGGACTGCGCTTCGCGTGTTATTGTATCTTTCGGTTTCGGTTTTGACTGGTAGGCTTATTCAATCAATCGTCGATATAAGGAGAATTTATTTCAGATATTTCAATTTGATAAATAACCCACCTCTATTATATCATCATCAATAGCTGTGGCAGGTTTAGAAGGTTTAAGGATTAAACCATCAGCATTACAACACCTAAAAAATAACCATTTCGATTAGACATATCTTAGACAAATCTAATGATTAGGTAATAGTTGAAGGTTGAAGGATACGATCAATTCAATCATGTTATAATTCAGATCCAAAAGATCTTTTTCTTTTTCTTTTTTCTGTGGGTAACTATACTTGCAAGCACAGCTCATCAAATCGCAAAATATGTTTTATCACATAAGACCCTTTGTGACGTAATCAAACACTTAGTTTCAGTGGAATTGCATGAGCCCTATACATCTGATAGAAAGTTTGAATGAAATTGATGCTACCAGTGTCCCCTAATTATAATCCTTTACTCAACCTACTTCATTAGTAGATCTGTATTTGTATAATTAATACCATCACTAGGTCCTACTGGCCCAGTACTTAATACAGCTAGTAGAGTCTGTAGAGCTGGGTAGGGCTCCGTTGTATCTGGAATGATGAACATAAACCATCTGGATTGTGCTACATCTTTCTGATATTTGATATTTGTGTAATTAGATTACGTGTAACCATTGTATTGTCTCTATTTTATATTATACAAAGCGTCTGGTTTAGACTACAAGTGTAACCTTAAAGCACAAAAGCCATTCAAACTGCAAAACTCAATTACTTATGTTAAGCAATTGTGCTCTTACCACTAAGCTACTCCTTCAATAACATGAAGTCTAAACTCTCTTTCTTAAATACTGTTCTCAAAGCGATAGTTCTCACAGGAAACGATAAAGAAATATTCCTGTCTTACTGAAAGGGTTTCCTGGTTGCTTGGTAGTGGTCCAGAATGTATCTTTAGAAGGTCGAACTCCCATGGCATGAGCAAATAACGAGGATATACCAATCTTCCATTGATCATCTAATAAATGGTAATCATCGGAAACTCTGGCCTGAAATGAAAGAAATAGAGTTTTACGTCCTGCTTTTCAGTACCTGTTTGGACTAACGAGTACCGTGACATGCAGAGACGACAGTGCGATACTGTTGTAGAAACGGCCCTTCGCTCTATTGGAAGAAGAAGAGTGCAATTAGCAAAGTTTGCAATAGCATCGACCATTGTTTTGGGGTTGTTTTTGCAGCTGTCGTTGTCAATTGATTTATTTGAACGTGTAGTAGCAGGTAGTAAATTTTGCATTAACATCGTCTGAAGCCATTATTTTACGAAGCCGTTGTAAGCGAGGAACTTTGGTTGAAACTTTTTTGAAGGTAGAATAAAATTGGATACTTTACCTGAGTGACAGGTGAATACTGTAAAGACTGGAATGCCATTCTGGATTGTGTCATACAGTACTGTATTGACATTCCATTATTCTCTGCCGAGGTTGCCATAGAATCTAACCAGGTGGTAGCAAGTGTTAAATTGGATTTCATCTTTTCCAGAAACATAAACTGTACGTACATCCAATCCTAATTCAGTTATCAAAACATTACACGAGTCAGAGTCCTCAATCAAAATCGAGGTCGAATTTTACATGCACAATTTTTATTTGTGATCGAATAAGTCCAACAGTGGCGGTGCCAGGTTTACGTATTTATTTATCTAACCTATTTATGAGATAACTGCCCCCTCTGTCCCCCTTTGGCTCCGCCTCTAAAGTCCGGGGGTGGAGGTGGGCTGCAAATTTAATGTTTTCGAGTTGCGCGCTATTGATTGTCCAGGTTGCACACCACCCTGTTTAGATCTGTGTTTGACATCAAAAGACTGTTTAATGTGAAGTTTCTAACCAACAGATCCGTTTTCTTCAATAGAACAAAACATAATTTTGCATTATTGTCATTTCTGGTCTTAATTAACTTCATAACATTTTTGAAAAAGAGTAGCTGATGATACGTACCTGTTCATACATCTTCATTCCCCATGTCTTACCTCGTGTGAACAGAAAGTCCCAAAATTTCTACAATAAAAGTAGTTTAGTGTTAAAGAGATAAAGTCGCCGAAATCTCTTCTCCGGGTTGTAAAACATACAATACAATTTATATTTTCGGAGAGAAAATCCGATTTGAGATAAACCTGGATCAAATCTGAATACAGAAATATTAAAACATGTATTATTTTTCATCCAAACTGAAATTCTCCAATACTGAATTTTTTTTTTCACTCCAGTGCTTTGTCTGCCATCTCCTCCAAATCGAACTGAATAGATTAATAAATTGCAAATATGGACGTATTTGTTTCGTATTATTGCTGTATGTAACTCCACATGCCATACATGATCTGTCTTAATGATAGTTATGCATCTCCTGTTCTCTGTTATTTAATATTTAACAAATCAAATCCTTTGTTCATTAAAGATTTTATTTTAGGAACACCTGGATATTAATTGGTGAACATTGACTTGCATTGTCTTCTCACTTTAAACAATGCTTTTGATTGCTCAGTAAAAGTTATGACAACATTCGAATCTTTTGGGTCAAAATGTAACAGAACACGATTTTATGAAGAGTTTCGTCAGATTATGGATGCTTAGTGTAGTAGCCTGCAGGAGACCAATAAACGAATCATCTAGAATTGCATTTTTTGCATCCTATTGACAAAGTATTAGCTGGATCAGAATTAACATATACTTGTCCTAAAAGATATTTTACAATGGTCTAGGAACAAGGGACCTTACTCTAGTGTGAAAACATTGAGAACATAATTACCGTTGTTAAGGGGACACTCAAACCAACTCCCTTTAAAAAAAGATATTTGGCTGCGTAAGGAGTATCCTTTGACCTATAATGAACAAAACGATTGTGTAAAACCTTTTAGTTTAAATTTCTATCGGCAATAGCAACAAAAATATATAGAAAAGGAAAAGGTTCTTTAGGGTATATATAACTTTTCTTGATAATCATCATTTTTTACCCTTAATTTTAATTGAAGGGTGGGTAAACTACCACAGGTTCTAGTTTAATACACGACCCACCACAGAAAAATAGAAATAATACAGGAGAGCGTATCAAAAAAAAGAAATTCCCGAGTTAAGAGCCCCAACTCATCTACTTGAACTATTGAATAGGACTATCAGATTGGAAACAGCTCTGGGAGTTTTCCATAAAATGCGTCAAGAAGCGAGTCTTGCTTTGTGCCTAATGACACATTAGAACTGGACTGTGGTAGAAAGCAATGATTACATTGATAGATTGCAATGAAGAAGGAAGATATAAAAAAAGAGAAAGTAAAGTGTAATCTAATTTTAATCATAATTGGGAGTATCATACTGAAATTGATATATAATTAATTGTAACGTCAATAAAATAGACTTACCAATATCTGTTATGTAAGGAGAGGGGTAGATTCAACTTTTCCTGTAATTTCCTGAAATTAGATCAAGATTAAAATTAAAATGAGAGTGTGAAAAGGGTTGAATGAGTGTCTCTACTAATATAATATATTCGTCTTCAGAAGAACTAGAAATGTACGAAAATCGCATCATTCCATCAAAAATACCTCAAATTACAAGTTCTGTGTGTATATATGTCATTTCTATATATAACAGTCTCAGGACTTTTGAACACAGGAAATTCTGGACGCTTGGATTTGAAAGCTCAAGTTCAGACAATGAGGTGTGAACACTACTTCGATTAGATCAACTAAAATAAACGATTTCTGATACTAAGGTTGGATTGATCAAACGGATGGTGAACCTAAAATAACCCTCAAGAGGAAGCCTCCATAAAAAAGAGTCAGTCTACAGAAACAAAAGAAAAGAAATTAACTATCCCAACAAAATTAAAATTTACATTAATGAAGCCTAAAAACACGTCAATTGTATAAATCCAGACCCTGGATTTTTAATTTTCAATAATCATTCAGATAACGAAATTATCAATCCTGTATATTATGGCAAGATCGACTGTCTGTCTTGTTATTTAAAGGGGATATGCAACTCTTTTAATTTAAATTACTGCTTCCGTAGAAGCCTCCATAAATTGCAACTGCCGACTATTAAGTCGTCAGTGCGGGGTATTGGGTATAGTTTTCAACTAGCAATAACCACGCCTCGGAAATTCCTCATTGGCTATGGTACCGCCACTGCGCAAAGCTAATGAAACTTGCGCATTGAGGTCGTGTCAAATTATTCTTTAATTGATTTGCCCTGGTTTAGTTTTGTCATTTAGCTCAGTTCATCATGAGTTATCTCCCTGTTTTAAGGTTAATAAAAGAATGAAATGACATACACTAGTGTGAAATAAATCAAGATGGCGGACGAGTAACAACAACATATATTCATATTAGTGTTCTTATTTAATTAATATTCTATCTACTGCTTATTCTCATTTAAAGATTATATAGACTAGCAATAACCACGCCTCGGAAATTCCTCATTGGCTATGGTACCGCCACTGCGCACAGCTAACGAAAATGGCGCAATGAGGTGGTGTCAAATTATTCTTTAATTGATTTGCCCTGGTTTATTTTAAACAATTAGCTCGGTTCATAACGAGTTATCCCCCTTATTTTGGGCAATAAATTTCTTTTTGTTTTTCACTATATGCATAGTTATCCCTTTTTAAAGATAATAGGAATATCAAAGGTTGTAATATATCTACAAGTTTTTCCCATTTGATTCTAGCTGAGAAGCCTCCATAAATTGAAACTGCCGACTATTAAGTCGTCAGTGCGGGGTATTGGGTATAGTTTTCAACTAGCAATAACCACGCCTCGGAAATTCCTCATTGGCTATGGTACCGCCACTGCGCAAAGCTGATGAAAAAAAGCGCACTGAGTTGTAATTGAATTAACTGCTTCCGTAGAAGCCTCCATAAATTGCAACTGCCGACTATTAAGTCGTCAGTGCGGGGTATTGGGTATAGTTTTCAACTAGCAATAACCACGCCTCGGAAATTCCTCATTGGCTATGGTACCGCCACTGCACAAAGCTATTTTTATTATCGTACCGAATTCAACTTAAACTAATTAGCTCAATTCAACACTAGTTATCTCCCTTGATCTGAGTAAAGTTTAACAGAATAAATTTATTGTGGTCTAATCATCCTAACAACCGAACAACGTCCAGACATAGTTACCAGAATCCAATATGAACTATAGGAACTACACTGGCATTGGCAAGTGTGGCAAATAGTAATATGAAATTGAGTTTTGCGTTCTAGAATTCTATACAGTTATAATTTAATTAAACCACATGATTGTTATCAATATTATAGAGAGTTTAAATCCTTCCGTTTCCATATTGAACTTTTGTAGTTAATGACGTGTGCGCTCTTCTTTCCTACATTTAACCGGGCTAATTAAGGCGTAGGTTCGTATTTCTTGGAAGTTGTAGTAGCAGAGTTTGGTACAATGTAAGGGGTGTGGAGATGAGGTTAATGTCCCCACCTTTCCTAGAACATGACTGGGCGCTGCATAATCATATATAGGTAATAAGACGGAATTTCATAGCATATAAGAGTTTCTCTTTTCAATTAAAATTACTGCTTCCGTAGAAGCCTCCATAAATTGCAACTGCCGACTATTAAAGTCGTCAGTGCGGGGTATTGGGTATAGTTTTCAACTAGCAATAACCACGCCTCGGACATTCCTCATTGGCTATGGTACCGCCACTGCACAAAGCTAATGACATAAGTATACTTGGCTGAGCTTAAATTTTCATTTAATTGATACGCCCTGGTTTAACTGAAACTAATTAGCTCAGTTCATCACGAGTTAACTACCCTTTTTCGTTAATTGAATTTTAAAACGTACCGTTTGCTGCAATATTGCTATAGGCAGAATTCAATCATTTACCAGTATTAATGTAATTACACAACGTAATCCCTTCGGATTCAACAGTTTTTGGCTCTTTTGGTTCATGATGAAGTCGCTTACATGTATTGTTTGTTTTTGTCGACAGATAATTTAGGATTCACCAACTTATTGATATTATAATTCAGTGGCATGTGTCATGAATGGATGGACGTGTGTTATTTTATCCTATTTGATGCTACTGAAAGAGATATAGAGAAATAAAAAAAAACTTACTGAAGACCATCAGGAAAGATATCAGGGCGTGGTTCCCATCTTGTGACAGCTTGATTCTTGTCTTTGTAGTACCACCATGAGTCTAACTGCATGTACCTACAAAACAAAACATCAAAATAGAAATAGTTATTGGTGTTTTTGCTTAAATGTTTCACCTTGAAATTTTTATTATGGCTCTGCAATATATCAGATTCAGCTTGACGGGAACTGGGGGAGTTGCCGAATGGTGTATGTATACTCTTCCATATAAGAACCCCAGCATCCAACAATACTAGACGTATAAAGCAGAATAATATAGTATAGAGCGTAGCATGGTCTTCGATATTCATTTTAGTTGACTGGCAGCAGACTTCACTTGTCTTCTATTGGCGGAGGATCCTGCGTTATTAGTTAGCTGGAAGGAATAAGGAACTATGGGAACAAAACCTAAAGTAGAGCGATATTACAGTCTCTGAAGGTTTCTTGTCATGAAACGGATTCTACATGATACGCTACACAACTACATTTTGGACGGGCCTTTGTTAGATTACAAAGGAGACGTAAAATATCAGAAAAAAATAATAAATTGTAATCTAATCTTAATAAGATTGATATCGACCGACCAATAAAGAATAAGCTAATTGAATCATACCTGTAAGGTATTTTGGTTCTGTCTATATCTTTCTTTATATCTAAAATAGTGTCTTCATAGTTTTTCTTTGGCTCTGTATGGTAGTAATAATACCCTCCTGTAAACAGAAATGAAAGTAAACTGTAATGGCCAAACTGTAATGCATTGAAACGTTGTATTCAATAAACCCCCATGATAGTATACCATAAAAGTACGCTTTGGTAACACATTCTTGTTGTGTCCTACTTTGCTACAGATTAGGCTCATGAAGACCGGCATCACCACGAACTATACAATGAGAGAATTTTTTCATGGCAGCGAACGCTCAACCCCGTCAATGTTCATTAGTTTCTGTGAGTGGTACCTATAAGATATCCTCGTCGTAGGTGGGTGTCGGGGTGCCAGAGACTACGGTTAACCGCAATTGATTCTTACCATTATCAGTCCAGTAACCTAGATGACTAAGAGTTATATCAGCTGGTTGATAATCAATCTGTTTATCAAAATAATACTGAACCAGTTTTCCATATTTATCAAATACCTGAAATTATCATTGACAGGTACATTATGATTGTATAGATTTCTAATGTTTAAGAAGAAAACTACAGCTGATCATCTGACATATTTATGCATGAAAAAAAACATGTCATAAACCACAATCCCAAAATCCATATGCGAAAAAGGTGGATAAGAAAGTGAAAGTCATGAGGGATATTCTCATACATGAACTGGCTAGTGAGTCAGGTGTTACCAACACTTCATTTAACGCATAAGGTACTTAACCCTTTAACCCCTCACCATCCTTTTAAATGAGTTCACTATTAACATTTTGTTGCAGAACTGTTTGTTCAATTCTACAGCCGCCCACCAGAGGAAGGCGATTGGTCAGAAATATAGAATTATCGAAATGGCTTGAAATTATGGTAGTGAATATCGTTATATACTGTACATAATATTTCATATTATACAAGCACTTACATCGTTAATACCACCGTTCTCACTATAAACTATAATAGTGCTGATGGTATAGCCTGGAGGAACCTCGTCTACACCGCCCATGATACCCCAGGATAGACTGTGGTCTGTCTTGTTATAGTTGGTAGACATGGTTAAAGGGTTAGTAAACGGTGCTATCAATATAGCATTATCATTCTTATCAAATAAAACGACTGGACCAGTCCCGTGTAAACCATCGTGTATCTTGATAGTCTTTGGACTCCATCTGAAATAAGTCGAATAAAATTAGAAGGAATTGTAAAGAGGTTTTCTAATTTTTGTCTATGTGTATCGGGAAAACTGAAAGCGTTAATTTGCACCATTCCAATTTTCAATCAAACGTCTGTTGTTCCTGCAGAACTAAGTGTTTGATGACGTTACTAACCGCAAAATATGCTTTATCACTTAAGGCCGTCATCAAACACTTAGTTTAAGTGGAATTGCAGGAACCACAGACGTCTGAATGCAAGGTAGTCATAGATGCATGTGTTAAAAATTACCAGTGTGTTATAGTTTTAGACTATTTAACTGACAAAGGAATACGAAGTGAAATCAACAAACCTTTTTTGTGGCGTTTAACTGTTCTGCTGATTGCTGCGGAAAAGCGTACATTATGTATAAAGACACCAATGTATGTCAAAATGAATGAAGAACACGTGTGAATAAAGTCAATAAATATACTTACACACCAAGTTGTTTCTCTCTATCACCAAACATATCAGCAGACAAGGACAGATAACCCACTGTAGAATTCACATCTTGTACAGTAAAACTAGG